CAATGCTATGCTGGGGATTATTAGGAAGGGTATTGTAAACAGATCAGCCAATATCATAATGCCGCTATATAAATCAATGGTGCGACCTCATCTGGAATACTGTGTGCAATTCTGGTCACCACACCTTAAAAAGGATATTATAGCTTTGGAAAAAGTGCAGAAAAGAGCAACTCGAATGATAAAAGGGTTGGAACACTTTCCCTATGAGGAACGGTTAAGGCGCTTAGGGCTCTTTAGCTTGGAGAAACGACGACTGAGGGGTGACATGATTGAGGTTTATAAGATTATGCATGGGAAAGAGCAGGTAGAGAAAGAGGTACTTTTCTCCCTTTCTCACAATACAAGAACCCGTGGGCACTCCATGAAATTGCTGAGCGGTCGGGTTAGAACGGATAAAAGGAAGTACTTCTTCACCCAAAGAGTGATTAACACTTGGAATTCACTGCCACAGGAAGTGGTGGCAGCTACAAGCATGGACGGCTTCAAAAGGGAATTAGATATAGGACGTCCTTCTTCACCCAAAGAGTGATTAACACTTGGAATTCACTGCCACAGGAAGTGGTGGGTGCTACAAGCATGGACGGCTTCAAAAGGGAATTAGATAAGCATATGGAGCAGAGGTCCATCAGTGGCTATTAGCCACAAGGTATAGATAGGGACTCTGGGGCAAGTGATGCTCTGTCATCTTGGTGCTTGGGGGGGGTCAACAGTGGGAGGGCTTCTAATGTCCTGGCCCCACTGGTGGACCTCCTGATGGCACCTGGTATTTCTGGCCACTGTGGGATACAGAGTGTTGGACTGGATGGGCCTTTGGCCTGATCCAACATTGGCATCTCTTATGTTCTTATGTTCTTATGTTCTTAAGTTCTTGTTGTGCATCCCCTTTTTTTACAGATTGCAACAGAAGCAATAGCGAATATCCGAACAGTTGTTTCCCTCACTCAAGAGAGAAAATTTGAACAAATGTATAGAGAGAATTTGCTTGGGCCCTACAGGTAAGAGAGGCTGACCTGACTCAGGCCAAAACAGACTTGACGCTGGGAGTTCCAAGCGTAGGGGTCAAAGTAGTTCTTGTTCTTGCACTTTATGCCCAGAGGAACCCAATTCGGATTGCAGCAAGGAGGAATGGTATTTTTCAAGTCTGCCTTCCCTGGCTATTTTACCAAGCTGAAATGACCCCACATAGTTGGTGTCTGCCCCACTGGAGGTGTTGTATATTAAGCTCGGCCGCGTGCAAGGCCAAGCCCACATGCGGTCAGGCGAAGAACCCTAGCTTCGCTCTAAGGAACAATAGACCAAACGGATCCTAGCCCGCACCTATCAGAGGGCTAGGATCCAAGGTAGGAGCTATGGAACTCTTGGCCACTGTAAATATCCTATCACCGGTGAAGGGTGTGTGCTTGGGTGTGGTTTGACTCCTAAACATAAGCTGCCCTGCGAGCCGGCATTCTCTCTCTTGTACTACATCTCTAAATAAAGTATGAGCTGAAATTACTTCGCTATGCATCAGGCTCAGTCCTTTTCAGGAGCATGCATATGAGTCTTGCATTCGGTGCCTGTCTGTCTGGCCAGTGGCCAGCTCCATGGGCTTTTTCAGGCAAGGAAAACAATAAGAGGAGAGGAAGACTGAACTTTCTCTCCATCCTTCATACTTCGCTATGCATCAGGCTCAGTCCTTTTCAGGAGCATGCATATGAGTCTTGCATTCGGTGCCTGTCTGTCTGGCCAGTGGCCAGCTCCATGGGCTTTTTCAGGCAAGGAAAACAATAAGAGGAGAGGAAGACTGAACTTTCCCTCCATCCTTCAACATCACAGTCTTGGTCCAAATTTGGATTCCCTGTGAGTGCCACTGAAAAAGAACAATTGCCTGGGAGCACTGTCTGCAGAACTCCCAGTGACTAATCCTTTTGGGTTGTCGGTGGAAAGTTGTGACCTGACAGATTTTTATGCTCATGGCTTAACATAAGAGAACATAAGACAATATAAGGGAAGCCAATGTTGGATCAGGCCAATGGCCCATCAAGTCCAACACTCTGTTACACAGTGGCCAAAAATACCAGGTGCCATCAGGAGGTCCATCAGTGGTGTCCCCCCCCCCCAAGCACCAAGAATACAGAGCATCACTTGCCCCATACTGAGAGTTCCTTTCTATACCTTGTGGCTAATAGCCACTGATGGACCTCTGCTTACCTTGTGAAATCTAGCTGGCCATTTAGCATGAAGGTAGGACTTCAGAAATATTCTTCAGAATTTAAAAAAAACAAACAGCTTCAGTATTGGTTTTAAACCATTCTTTTTGAAGAAATAGTTAGAGTACTATATGTATCTAATTTAGTCCTAAGTCTGACCTAGCCAGCAGAGCTGGGCTGGAACTACATTGTCTTACCTTAAACTCCTGGCTGCCACCAACAAAAGGTAACCATGAGTGCAATCACACGCACAAGTAGCCGCGCCATAGGCACAAATGCCGGGCGGATTTAAAGGGCGTGATCAGACACAAACATCTGCCCAGCGTCTTGCACCCGTCGGCAACCCGTTTTGCTCCGCCGCAGAAGTGGAGTAAAAAGACACCAGGGAAAGTCCAGTAGCAAACAGGTTGCTACGGGCCACGGACGGACTTTCCCCTGTGTGATCGCTCCAGCGCACTCTCATGGCATCGGGATGGTCTGATCAGGCCATCCCGACTCCGTGCCGTTGTTTCCCCCCCCTTCTCAGTATGTGCATCATTGCATACTGCCATAGGAAGCCCTGTTTGGAGATGCGATTCATTGATCCTCCATTTAAGCAAATCTAAAACAAATGGCAAAAAAAAACCCTGCCCCACCCGCGATTGCATCTGATCATGCAGTGGCAGGCTATGCCCGCAGCTTCAAAGAACGGTGTGATCATGCAACTGCGGGTCAATTTCCTCCAGTGAATAGCCTCAGTGCAACTGCGGGTCAATTTCCTCCAGGGTGAATAGCCTCGCGCGTGTGACTGCAACCCATGTGTTTCATTTAGTGCTCCCACTCCATAATGTCTGGGACACTTTATCCATGCATTGATGTGACATGAATTTGCCTGTTGTGCTAGACAGGAGGTTGCCTGGCCCCTGAAGGGTAAAACTGCCAACCAGCTGATTCTCATCTGAGCCTGTGGGCACACAGGTCCAGAATCCAATCACCATTCAGGCTGGGGATTAAATGCTGGATGGAAGCCCAACAGCAGTCCATTTGGGTCTGCCTTAGCAAGAGAGCAGAGTTTAAAGGATAGCTTTGCCTAGTAGTGTGGCAGAGTGCTTTAAGTCTACCTCTGGGAGAGGACATAGTAGCCAGTTGTGAAGCCTGTCTCTTGTGACGAACAGACCTGGTGCCATGACCTTTGCCTTTTGGAAAAGGGCAGGCTGGTACGGATAGATTCCTCTTTGAGGGTGTATAAAAGGATCCAGCATGGTAGCTAGGCAGTGAAAGCCTGGATGTAACAGTGAACATTATAGGGAATTTAAATCACAAAGGTAAGCCATAACTAGGTTAACTTTAAGTGCCTTAGCCATGCTTCTGCTGTGACTGTCTGGAAACCTGTGCTGCTGAACTGTTCTTCAAAAATAATCTGTACGTAAATACATAATTTTTTAATGCAACTTCTGCCTCAGTGTTCTCTGCGTTCTTCTTCCTCATCACAAAACTTACCTCATGGCAGTGAACCCCAAGCCTTTATACCTGCTACTCTAGCTATACCTTTTAACTGAGAGGAACAACTATGGGGAGAGTTTTGTTTTCAAAGAGCCCAATTCCCCAAAATCTCAAGAGAGTGTGTGGGTCCCCTCAGTTGATTTATAGGAACCTACCACATCTGTCCACCTTGCCAGCAATGCCAATGATATTGTCTGTGGGGATGTAGGGTTATTGCTGGGGAACCAGAATTTTAATTAATACAATAGTTCTGTGTATATCTATGTGCAAATAAACAAAACTTGATTTTTTGTTTCAGAAATTCTCTGAAAAAAGCACATATTCATGGGCTGACATTTGCTCTTGCCCAAGCAATGATGTACTTTACCTATGCGGGGTGTTTTCGATTTGGTGCCTTCCTTGTGGGAAATAACGACATGGATTTTAAATCTGTTTTCTTGTAAGTATCTGTTGTATTTTTATTTTTTTTTAAATCCATTCAGGTCTTCTTGTGCATGTATTAAGATACAATATTCAGTAATAGTAAATGGGAGAGTCCATCCACCATTCAGAGTCACCTGACGTTGTCTTATCAGTTCAAGGAGGCAATGGTTTGGATGATTTTCTTTTGGATGGAGGTTGCCTGAGGTGTCAGGGTGAGTCCTTGTCTTCCTGTGCGAGGTGTAATTGTCACACTTCTTGGCTGGGCTGCCATCCAAATACGAAGAGAATACTTGCATAGGCCTGGCACATTTAAGCTGCAATATGTATGGGACCAAAATGCACAATCAATATCCCACATACAATCCAGAAATCAACTGCACAGGCTGGACCCACGTGCATTAGATTTTGTATGTGTAGGCCCCACACAAACATCACTGTACTGCAGGGACGTCTGCTGAGCCCAGAAGATTTTAAATCTGTTTTCTTGTAAGTATCTCTGTTGGTTTTTTTTTTTAATTCCATTCAGGTCTTCTTGTGCATGTATTTACAATATTCAGTAATAGTAAATGGGAGAGTCCATCCACCATTCAGAGTCACCTGACGTTGTCTTATCAGTTCAAGGAGGCAATGGTTTGGATGATTTTCTTTTGGATGGAGGTTGCCTGAGGTGTCAGGGTGAGTCCTTGTCTTCCTGTGCAAGGTACAATTGTCACACTTCTTGGCTGAGCTGCCATCCAAATATGAATACTTGCATAGGCCTGGCACATTTAAGCTCCAATATGTATGGGACCAAAATGCACAATCAATATCCCACATACAATCCAGGAATCAACTGCACAGCCTGGACTCACGTGCATTAGATTTTGTATGTGTAGGCCCTACACAAACATCACTGTACTCTGCTGAACTACCGATCTTCCACAGCCTGCAGTTCAGCGTCTTAACCACTTGAGCCACCGCAGCTCCATAGCCTGTGGTAGATCTTTTGAAGTGGTCCGTACTAAATTGTTATCACGATTCTGCAGCCTGTGACATGCCAGTGCAGGAACTAGCATCATGCATTAGCATTAATCATCTGTTTTTGTTGCCATTTCACAGCAAGTAATACTGAGGATTGGGGGGGGAGTTGCATGGGGCATGCAAACTCATGTGCCAAGTCAGTGACAGCAAAGCGAATCTAAATATCCTGCTTCCAGCCATCTAGATATCTCAGTCATTTTTGTTTGCATTTCCAGGGTATTCTCCTGCATTGTCTTTGGTGCCATGGCAATGGGACAGACTGCTTCATTTACACCAGATTATGCCAAAGCCAAAGTGTCAGCAGCTCACATGTTCATGTTGTTTGAAACAGTCCCTGCAATAGACAATTACAGTGAGGAAGGACTGAAGCCTGTAAGTTGATCACTGGATGTCATTTCCTAACCTATCAAAAGTTTCCAACACTTGTTGTTGTTGCTCTGAGGCCTCCTTTCCTCCAATCATCTCTGGGTAACAGACGTTGTTCTCTCCTCCTCCATTCTGCCCTTAAACAACAGCTCTGTGAGGTAGGTTAGGCTGAGCAAGAATGACAGGTCCAGCAACACCCAGGGACCTTCATTGCTGAGTGAGGACTAGTATTTCCGTTTGAGGCTTACCTGTGGTCCTGTCAAAGACCTTGTCCTTAATGGGATCGGCATTCTGTGATATGAAGGGGCTATTTTGGAGAAAGACGCAGTCTGTACAGTCTGCCTGTGCCTCCCAAATCCTAGCCTATCCAGAGCACAAGTGGTGGTGGTGCCTGCAGAGCCAGGCTGGGCTGGGCTACACAATTTGCAAACCTCTGCCTAGTTTGTTCATCGTCTCTTGCTTCTGGCTTAATGGCAAGGATATGCCATCTGGATGCAGCCCTAAGGAAAAGGGGGAAATAAGTTCAGACTAGTCTCTATAGGAGAAGATCCCACTGGGACCAGCCCTCAGTTTCCACTAGCAGATTTCTAGTTCTTACAACCTTACAAATGCAGAATTAGAACTGTAAAAGGTAAAGGCTCCCTTGCTCAAAAGCCAGTCAAATCCGACTCTAGGGTTGCGGTGCTCATCTCCGTTTCAAAGCCGAAGAGCCAGCGCTGTCCGAAGACGTTTCCGTGGTCATGTGGGCGGCATGACTAAACACCAAGGCACACGGAACGCTGTTACCTTCCCACCGAAGTGGTCCCTATTTATCTACTTGCAATTTCTTGCTTTCGAACTGCTAGGTTGGCAGGAGCTGGGAGCTCACTCCGTCATGTGGCACCCGGGGCTCGAACTGCTGAACTACCGACCTTCCACAGCCTGCAGTTCAGCGTCTTAACCACTTGAGCCACCGCAGCTCCTTACAACCTTACAAATGCAGAATTAGAACTGTACTGCCTACTTTAACCAAGGGAAGTTGCAAATTCCAAGCATATCAACATCATTCAGAGTCCACCCTATCCTGGATGTTAATGGTAAACATGCACTCCATGTTTACAATTGCTCAACCACTTTCTAAAATGCATGGCTGTTGCTTTAATTCTAGGAAAGATTTAGCAGTGATATTGCCCTTAAGGAAGTGGCCTTCAATTACCCAACCCGGCCAGATGTCTCAGTGCTCCAAGGACTGAATGTTGCAGTACAAAAGGGACGGACACTGGCTCTTGTGGGAAGCAGTGGCTGTGGGAAGAGCACCGTGGTCCAGTTGCTGGAAAGATTCTATGACCCTTTCAGTGGAGAAGTGGTATGTCTGTATTGTTTTTAATGTGAGTAATGGAGCACTGTAGATTTCTGCAGTAGTTCTCCCAGTGTAGATACTGAAGAGCAATTGTTTTTTTTAGATTTGTGATTTGGTTACAGTTAATGATTCCTAAATTGGGAACACACGTTGCTGAACTTGTAAATGCCCCCCCATTGTTCTGTGGGGACAGGAGATCCCTGGGAACAGCATGGGGAAGGTCAGAGTGCTGCAGCGAGAGGGGGGAATCGGCAAAAAATGAAGAACAGAAATCCCCCACAGGATCCAACCCTTTGTCACAGTGCTTCGAGCACCCTTGCTCTGGAGTGACTATTGACACAGAAAAGTGGGAACGACCGAACAAGATTTAGTCATAAATATTTTCTTTGTTATCTTCCAATGCCTGTTTAATTTTGGAATCGTTCAACCCAAAGCCCACGAACTTCAATAGAAGGGTGTAATGCTGCTTAGGAATGCACTGCAGGTTGCACTAGCATTTCAAGGCTCTACATAGTTCACCGTTGAATTGTGTGATAAGGAGCATTGGAAATGTCTAACAATGCATTTAAAGGACTGTACAGAACAGAAATATATTTTTGAAGTTTGCTCATGTTTTCCCACTTCAGAAATGTTAATTAGCTTTCTTCTTTATTTTAGCTGTTGGATAAGCAGAATGCAAAACAGTTAAATATTCAGTGGCTGAGATCTCAGATTGGAATAGTCTCTCAAGAACCGGTCCTTTTTGACTGCAGCATAGCTGAGAACATTGCCTATGGTGATAACAGCCGCGTGGTGTCCCATGATGAGATTGTAAATGTAGCTAAAGCAGCCAACATACATTCCTTCATTGAATCCCTACCAGATGTAAGTGGCTTCTTTGTATCTTTTTGGTTATAAATATATATATTTTTTAAAAACCCAGAATAATAGTAGAGAAAGAAAAAAGTATTATACAACATAACTATCAAGAACAATAATATTTAACAAAATGTATGAAACAGAAAACATTTCTCTCCAAAATCCCCTTCATTATAATTATCAAGGTATTATCTGTAACATACAACAGTCCTTACTTCTGTTGGGGTACATTTATATTAATCTTAAATTTCAGACTTCATAACTATGTTTTGCAACTACATCATTGATTTCTTCATCATTACAATGAACTGCATACTCGCTATTACTTTTTGCAGGTATATATCTCATAATAAGGAAATTAGGAAAAGATGCTCTCCCCAGAGTCCACTGCTTCTTTGTGTTTTCAAGCCTTTTAGGACTTTGTGTTTTATTCATTGGAAGTAAATTTAAACAAAATTGTTTAGGTGTGTGTTAAAAAGGCAGGGTATGGGTGGCATGAAAAATGAAACAAAATGTTATTCCAAAGGATTGCTAACAGAGGATCACGATAACACTGAACTATTTTTTAAAAAACCCTAGAAACTTAAATACCATGACTGCTAAAAAAAAAAAGTACTTCACAAGGTTTACTTCTCAGTAATAACAAATTAATTATTGTAACTCTGGGAATTGTTAATTGCTGTCATTATAACTCACATTTCTGCTTGGTAAGGTTAGAAGAAGCTTGTAGGGGCTGGATTGTGCTGCCAAATTCCTCCTCGTGATTGTCTTTGGGAACACAGTTGCATGAAGACAGGTTTTTCTGAACTGTACTATACATCCAAGCGCCAGTAGCTCTCTGTAATCTTTTCCTAGCAGCAACGGTGGCTAGCTCACTGTTTATGCAGACTGGCGTACTGAGTTGTGTATCTCTACTTGATTGCACAGAGGAATCTAGCAATATGAAATGCTGGAAAGTTTTAAAAAACAAGCCAACCCTAAATTAATTTGGTCTGATTTTTCCTGCCCGATTTTCATAAACCATTGGAGAAGCTTTTATCTCAGACATCTCCAGGATAGTGATGTTTACCCACTTCATTCCTTCCTTTTCCTTGGGCTAGTTTACTAAGATATGACATGGATTTCCTAAATCATTTCAAAGGATGTTGTTTTGCAGTTCTTATTCCCCACAAACCTAGACAGCCACATAGTGTTGCTCCCCATATCATGGGTTCTATTGGGCTTACCTAAACTTCAGAATACCTGAGAAAATGCTGCAATTTTATGCAGTCAGTCATCCCACAGAAAGTGCAGAGGAATCTTTCATTATGCAGGAATTGTTTTCCCTCTGGAAACTTGTTCCTTTCAGCTTCTGATCAAACTATGCTATGTAAGCTAATGTGATTTAACAGTTTCTCAGGATCATTGCTTATGTATTAGCTCCTTCCTTTGGATGCGTTCCATCAGCTAGTGACATTTTGCCTTTCTGTTATCAAGTTTTGTGTTCAGTTAATTTGCCACACTTTCTCACAAAAATATCCCTTACTTTGTGCTAGACAAGTATCTCTTTTTTGTGCGAACCACAGAGTTGTACCAACTTGGTATTTTGGAGCCAGTTCACTGGACATGGCACCTCAATACATTTTGCTATAATTGTGCCCCGTTTTGGAGAGTGGCTGTAGCAATTAAGACAGTTCACATGACACCTTTTCCTGAACAGTAATGCATCAGGAAACTACAAGGCTCACAGCTTTTTAAAAAAGATACGTATACTTAGAATTACTGATCAGACTCTTTAATATTTAATACAATCATATTAATGTCATGTGCGTCAAATATATCAAATGAGATTGTTACATATCAGGTTTGATTAAAGTAATATTTATTGCACATAGAAATATAACACTTCTGTGGGTGACAAAGGGGCTCAGCTCTCTGGGGGCCAGAAACAACGCATCGCTATTGCTCGAGCCCTAGTTCGCTATCCGAAAATTCTTCTACTAGATGAAGCAACTTCTGCACTTGATACTGAAAGTGAAAAGGTAATTCTTCGGGGTTTACATTAAGGGAGGGGAGTATCAAAAGCATAGGATGCCCATCATCGGGGTTCTTTGTGTCTGTGAAATCACTTATAGCTGTGTGGAGTTCGAGGTGTCCCTCCATAGATAAATTCCTTATGTTCCATTTTATAAATCTAGCATAATTACTTATCTTATCAATACATGTGAAAACAACTTCTAGGGAAGACTTGGTTTCATCACTTGGTTCTGAACACTTGTGCATGGGACACTTATAAGAATGAGCAGCCATAGAACGTACAGGGGTTTCAGGGGAAAAACCCCTCAGAACAACAAATAAAAAGGGTTATTTGGGACAAAGTTTTTCATTAATGCAAATTGTCTTGTTTCCAATAGGTAGTCCAAGAGGCCCTGGATAAAGCCAGACAAGGCCGTACCTGCATTATAATAGCTCATCGGTTATCTACAGTTCAGAATGCTGACAGTATAGCGGTGATCCAAAATGGGAAAGTCATAGAACAAGGAACCCATCAACAACTACTGGCTGAGAAAGGAGTCTATCACTCACTAGTCACTGTTCAAGCAGGGACAGTTAATACGTAAATTAAATGCCAAATATATATTGCTAGAAATGAATTTGTAACTGTCATCTGTAAACATAACAAGGTACTGCTTATGCCCCCCTATTAAGGACTTGCACTAATAATGGGCTAACTTCCATTAAGGATTCTCCAAGTGAAAATTATCAGTCAAATGTGATGCAAAACCATGATTTAATGGCTGATGTAATTGTATGAATACAGAATACTCTCCTAACTATGGGATATCAGACCAGGATCTGAACCCATGATTTCAAGTTAATTAACTGCAATTAACTATAATTTTATAAGCAGTAAGAATATGGACATGCTGGCTTGGCTTCCAGCAATGCTCTCAAACACTCTTTGGCTGTAGCAGTGCCCAGCCAGAGCAAAGGCAATGAAACCAGCATTTGTCAAGGCAAGTCGGAAATTTAATGATTGTCTGAGAGCCAAATTCTGGTTTCATAAACTAATCCTTAGTTAAAATAAGCAGTTGTTACGCATTATATGTGAACTGAGCCATTCTCCACAATCTTGGCTGTTCTCAACTGTCTTAAAATACACTGAAAAACAGACTGCTTTGAGACCTAGAAGCCAATGCAGATAAAGTTACCACACTTAAGAATCTGATTGGCAATATTTGAATGACTTGCACTTCTGACTACTGAATGTGACTGTATATGTATATGGGACTCAAAGACAGATATCTATATGTGACAGTATTATGGCTTCCCAGTAAAGATGCTTTTGAAAGTTTTGCTTATCAGTGTCCACCATCAAACTCCCTGAAAAGAATCTTGGAATTTAGGGAACATTTCCACTAATTTTAATTCAAAAGCAGTAACTTCCTTATATGGAAGTGTGTTTAGGATGACAGACCTAACTAGCTTTCCTTTGTTATTATGTACAAAACAAAGACATGTAAGTACTTGTAAATAAATGATTTTTATTTTTGTTTCCTAAGCCTCTTGTACAATAGCACATTCCAAATATTAAATGTTTTCTAAACAGGGACTAGCTCAATCCCCTCAGATCTCAGAAGCTAAGCAGGGTCAGCCTTTGTCAGTATTTGGACAGGAGATTATCAAGGAGTACCGGGGTTGCGATGCAGAGGTAGGCAATGAATGGCAAATCACCTCTGAATGTCTCTTGCCTTGGAAACCCCACCAGGGGGAATGCCATAAGTCAGTTGTGAAAACAGCAAAAGAAAAGATTGCCATTTCAGTGGCAAATCACCTCTGAATGTCTCTTGCCCACCAGGGGAATGCCATAAGTCAGTTGTGGCAACAGCAAAAGAAAAAACATTGCAATTTCAGTTTCCTCCCCCCCTCCCACTTATAAACAATCTAAGTAATATTCAATAGTAAGACAAGACAGATTATGGGAAAGAGAATCCATCAAGCTTGGTGCTAACAGTGTTTCTTATAGTTTATGAAACTGTACTTTGCTTACAAGATGATCTTGGTCCTCCCCAATCTGGAATCTGGCAAACTCACACATGACTCCTACACTAACCACAATTCGGTTGGAGAACATTTGGTTTAAGGATTATCACCCCCCCCCCTCCTCTTGTGATCTTCAGACTATTTATAGTGGCCCTGAGGGCCACTAGTAGATGATGGGGAAATATCCACTACTGATTAGTTGCTATTAGCTAATGAGTTCATGTATAACTTTAAAGATTAAAATGTATTTATTGCAACGTAAGCTTTCATTAGACAGAGGTTGTTTTGTCAGATGCCTGAACTCATATTTTTAATTGGCAGAAATGTATACCCAAAGGCACAGCAGCGGTGGGGGGAGAGGTTACAGAGATACCAGAAGGCCCAGTTTCCCAGGACACAGGTGTGATGTTACATTGCAGAACACACATGAAAGCAAGATCTGGTTAGAGGGTTAAATGTTTCACTTCACTGTTGAAGAAATGGCAAAGTAGGATGAATCTGTAGAGTGTACGTATGAGAAGAAAAAATTACTTTCGTACACAGCTAATGATCCCAAGCCCCTGCTAAGTCCAAGTCCAAGAGTAGCACGTCTGCATATGACTTCCACCGTCTCAGTTTTTCTGCAGAAGTACTACAATCTTTAAGTGTATTGTTAAATGACCAGGGATGCTGAAATAGCCTCTTCTGGTCTGAATGTTTCCACTTTTAACAGCACTGAATGATCTGTTTTTCTTAAAACCTCCTCCCCACCTTTCTGTTTTTAGTAACTTTAGGTCTAAATACCTCTGCCAACTGAATGCAACACTTCATATTTGTGTCAAAATAAGCACTAAGTCATAAAAACTTGTAGCAAAATATGTGTTTTAATAAACTTTAGTTGTCACAAGACCGTTCTTTTGGTTGCCGCCAACTAACATAACTGCCTCTCTGGAACTGGTAATTCTGCAAGGGATACACTATATATTGTTCAGATTAAGGAACATAAGAATATTTAGTGAAACATTACTGCAGGCAACAAAAGGCAATTCCAGAGATATTATTCTCACACAACTGTCTATGGGCAACTTAAATTAACTTTGAGCTTATTTTATTGATTTCTTTGACTTCAAATGAAATGGGTTTTTTTTGCTGGGGGTCTGTTTTGTTTCAAGCTGAGGGTGAGCTACCTCAGGCACTCTGAAAGTGTAGAAAAAGTGCTTTCTGAAAAGTACCATGGGAGGTTATTGGGGGGGGGGGAGAGATGGTGGCTTCTGGCCTAACAAAGCATGTGCCCACTTTTTCAAACATTCCAGTGAATGAAAGTACCTGTAGATTAATCAAGTCAACACTCATTGGTCTTCTGAGGTGGCTTTATTTCAAAGAGGAAATGACATAGTTGATACAACAGAATCCCACTTCCCTTTGAGATACCAAGGAAGACTTAAATCCTGAGAATCTTATCAAGCTATATAGAGAGCAGCAGTGGCATATGTAGCTCTTAATCACATTTATATTTTGTAAACTTTCAAGTATTGTTTCACTTTCTGCCATTTGTTTGGAAAAATAAAATTTAAAAGAATGTTTTTCAAGTCATGGAATTTTCTCCTTTTCTATACAAAAGCCTCGATTTGTAGAGAAGCCCTTGAAGGAAAACAATCTCACTGTGTAAAATGGAAGGTAGCAGCTACATTAAACATAAAACAAAAATACCAAGGATTTCAATATCTTTCTTGATTACTTCAGAAGCTAGAAGTTATAAAAGCCATGATCAACATACCATTTAGAAAGGCACCGCAACCCACTCTCTCTGGAATGAGTGTGTAAGGGTCCAGCGCATTCATGCACTCATATAAACTATCGTAATTTGAGCATTACCTTCTTGTAGTCCCCGTCACTAGGAAGGTTATAAAAACAAGTTAGCCTAAACCGTTTTCTAAGCGGCCACAGATTCAATCAAGTTTGCATTGCTGAGACTCAATTAATGTTGCATAGTTTCAGATGAGAAGTTTTTGCATTGTTGTTGCAAACTTATTCAAAGGAAATTGCATTGTTATTGCAGTAAATCTCATTTTAAAAAGGCTTTGCATTACTGTTGCCTACAGTCTATGCTAAACTCATTGTGCCCAATTAAAGCACTCTTCTTGGCAAGGCTTTCTGTTTGCAGGTACTTGGTATAATGCACAGTGGAATAAAGGCACATATTTCAGTATCTTCTCTACAGCTGGGCTGTCGCCGTTAACTGGATAATGTCGTGAAAAGACTGGAACAGGCTCTTACACAGTTTTTTTGCATCTGTATCCGAGCATGAAATCCAGGTACTGCAAGCCACAACAATCCTGTGAGTGCAAAGGTAGAACACAACTTTTCATATAAATGACATCAGTCAATAAGAATCATGCATGATGTTACAGAATTCCTCAGTAACTGAGTTTTAAAGGTAACCCACAAAGTGTAAAATGAAATACACTTAAATGTGCAACGAAGTTTAATTTTGCAACCTGTACACATGTGAACTGGCTGATTGTAGTTGAAAACAAGTAAATCTGTGGCAAAGCACAACTGGAGCCGAGTACTCCTAATTCAAACTCAGTGAATCACACTAATTGCTCGCACTTATTTGAAAGCCAGTTGTCAAATCACATAGTCATGTCCAGGGACACAGTGCTAAAGCCACAGTAAAAAAATCCCTTCTGGAAATACCAGGAATGGTCTAGGGCTTCAGTTGGCTTTTCATTTATACCCCACCTTTCTCCACCCAAAACGGCTTAACATCATTCTCCTCTCCTCTATTTTATCCTCACAACAACTCTGTGAGGTAGTTCGGTTGAGTGTGCATGACTGGCCCCAAGGTCACCCAGCGAGATTCCGTGGCACAAGTGGGGATTCGCACCTGGGTCTCCCAGATCCTAGTCTGCACTCTAACCATTACGCCACACTGGCTCTCAATCCACAGCATGGGAGTAATATTTTATTACAGTTTACTTGTTTGACCAGGGCAGGAACGGACACAGCTACCTCGCGCTCTGAACGAGATACTCGTTGCCCCTCTCAGATTACAAAACCATCTCAACTGCCTCCGTGCAGGCACAGTAGCATTTAATTCTTTAATTACTGTGGTCAATATCTTCAAGTATTCTTCTCTCATCCTTTTTTTTCCATTCCTCACTTGCCAGCCATATTTAGTGAAGATTTTGGCACTCCCTTCCCACCCTTAATCAAGGATGCCGATTGACAGTAGTTGGTTTTCTTTTCATTCCTCCCCCCTTTCCTGCTCCACTGTATCTTCCTAATTGATGAATGCCATTTTCCCTCCTCCCCTTCAGCACTGTTTTGTCTCTCTCAGCAGACCACCCATCCTCTGTGATCTCCAGTTTCTACACTGAAATGCAACAGGGGCTTACCTCTGCCCTATGATGCCGACACCCACAGAGGAAACTGATAACAGGTTTCAGATTTCCCGTGGAAGAATTCTGATCCTTACCTGTCATCTCTAATTCTATAGAAAAAGCCATAGCCATGGTGCACCATAGGAACCACCGCGCCTCCCATTCTTGTGTAGCCGACCAGGCTAGTGGAGAGCACAAAGTTTCCACCTCCCCCACTGCAAATGGAAACAAAAAACTCAAAACATTACTGCAAACAAACTGTTTCAGTCCTACGGCAGAACAAAGCACAAAACATGCCCCCCCAGAGATAAAATATATTTTAGCCATCAGACAAAGCACAAAACATGTTAATATTACAAAGATATATTTAATATTACAAAACTATAAATACCTTCTGCTGAAAGCAGGATCCAAGAAAATTTCTGGCACAGGAAGGCAC